AACTTCATGAGGTTCTCACAGGCCCACTTCCTTTCTTCTAAATTGGAAGCTTTTTGTGTGAGGGCCTATGCTGAACAACTGTGTGGGCCATTGACGCCAAATAATAAGGGATCATAAGGGGAAAATAGAGGTTGTAAAAAGAAATAGTAAAACAGAAGAAAGTTATTTGGATTCACACAGAAACACTCTCCAAGAAATGCATTCAGTGACTGCAAATGCTAGAAAATAACAGCCAAAAGGATCTGAATAGAAAAATTTCAAAATACTTGGGGTTTTTCTCCTTTCCTTTTTGCTTGTGGGGACATTAGTTTTCATACACGTGCAGCTTTAAGAAATCTGGCAAATAGGAGGTGAGATGATCCCCCATCTTTGCTGCTTTTTGTGCAAGCTGAGAGCACGATGTCCCCATCGCCACGTGCTTGCTGGTGCAGGGTTCAGCTCATACTCTGCGTTCCCAAGAGTCTCCCTTGGTATCTCCAAGAGTGAAATGTAGCAAATGGTATTTCAGCAGCACATGGAGAGCTGATGCATTGATTTATGTGTCTCCTCCTCGAGATACCTTGCCAGCAATATTAAAAGCGAGATTTTGGAAAACTTTCAGGATTAAAAATTAACTGGAGTTTGTCCAATGTCTTTTTATTAGACAATGTCTCTCCCAAGGCTGCTAAGCTAATACCAGATTGTCAGATTGCCCAAAATTTCAAATATCTCGGAGTACGGATTTCACAGATCTCTTCAGAGTTGCTTACTTTAAAATGCAGTCTTATGTTACAAAGCTCACTCAGAGATTTTAAAAATGTTGATCTAAAGGATTTGGCAGGGGAAACGCGATGAGGAAGACAGGTTTACTGAGATATAAGAAAATATTTCAGCATAATTCAGCTTGAGAGCGCCTCAGTGCCCTGAAAAGAAAGCCCAACCCAGTTCAAGCTTGCTGCAGGTGTCTAAACATCACCTGGTTCATTTTTTTTTTTAAAAATCATATGGTAGCACAATCAGGATTCCTGAATCCTACCACAATTGCTGAAACAGCTAACCAAGCAATAGGTGAAATCGTATCCATTAATAGTAAATACACGCGTAGCTATGGAATGGTGATCCATTTTATAAGAGGGCTGGCGGAAACATTTATGGTTATATTGCCAGGGTATAGATTACTTTCCTAACAGCTTGTGATCCGATCATGCTGTGGTGGGATTGGACTGTTGGCGTTGTACTTGCAGGGTAGCTGAGAGCTGACCCAGCAGGACAAGAGGATCCTTTTGCCACGCTAAAATGGTGAAAATGAGATCTGACGAATCGTCCCGATGCCTCAGGCGCGTGCCTAACTGTGATAAAAGCAGAATTTTGTATTTTGCTTCTAATTGGGAGTTTCCACTGAGAATTTTGATGACAATAATGAAAAGAAAAAGGACTGAAATGAAGGGGTACCTGCTCTCCGGTCAGGACCGTGGCCATAGGAGGCAGTGGCCCTACAACAGCCCTGCAAAAGTCCCACAGCAGCACAAATGACTCCATCCAAATGCTCATGTAGTCTGATTTTAAGAGGTTTATCTACAGGGAACAAATGCGATTGCCTGTGGAGAACAGACACCTTTTCTTACTTAGCCCTCTGTGCTCCAACATAGGTGAAGTGATGCAGGTTCAGCAAAGTGCTGCAAAAGTCCCCAAAAGATGAGAATGTCTCCTTAGCGTGCAGTGAACCCTGGGCCAGCTGCCTGGCCTGGGAAGCAAAGTGTGGTCCTGTGGCTGGTGTGAGGACCGACTTGCACTCAGCAGTGTCATTGCTGCCTCGCTTTGTCCTTTTTCTGCATTTCTCCACCCCCCAGATCTCCTGAGATCTCAGCCAGGACATTCATGCTGGGGACACGGTGTGTGTTGGGGTGAAAATACACCGCATGCCATTTGCAGCTCTTAGACAAGTTTCCTCGGCCCTTGTTCTGTGTGTACTTCCTTGAAATGACACTGTTCCCATCCCCAGAATTAAAGCATCTGGTTAAGTATTTGCTGGATAGGGACCAACCCCTACTGGGTTCAGGGAGAGCTGTGCTTGCCTTGAGGCAGGATCTGTCCGCAGGTGGTTTCCTTTTTTGTTTTATTAACTGCAGAAAGGAGTATAATGCTATCTAGGAAGACAGAAAAAATCCAGTTCTCTCCATGCTCAGTTTGCAATTTTGAGAGAGGGACTGGTGGGTAAAAGAACCTGTTATTCCTCTGTGGGGAGCAGAGACAGGGATTTGCTTGTTCTACAACGCTGCCATTAAACCCAGTTACTCCTTAGAGGGTTGCGTTGTCTTCCTCCTTGTTCCCGTCCGAGCTGCGTGAGGAGTAGGTGGAGTTACAGTGTCCCCACAGCCTGGGGGAAATAAATGCTTACTTCTGCCCACTCTTCTTTCTGCAGCATTGCCATCTCTCAAATTCCATGCTTTTCCAGAGAGTGACACTTGACCTTTTTTTTTTTTTATCCCATTTATTTGGTCACATTATTCACTTTCTCCGAAAAAAGTCCAACTAACCAAAGCCCATAAGCCTCGTTTTCTGCTCGTTCACAACTTAGTGCCATCTGTCCTTCCCGAAGAGAAGTATGCTGCAGGTGCTGCTTCTGTTTGATGACGATGCTGATGTCCTTTGAGCAGGGCTTTAGCCTGCTTGCATGCCTTCTCCAAACCCAAGCCTGCTTTGCTCTGGCCACAGGGCTTATGGAGCAGTCAGGACACCATGGCACCGTGCGGTGAAGATGTGAGGTATGGGCTTCTCTGTGGGGTAGGGCGAGGAAGGAGCCAGTCGCAAAAGGCTCGAGAGGTTTGCTGCTGCAGGTCATGGAGGTCTCCCCTTCAGCACCTTGAGTGCTGGCCAGTGGACTGCGATCTCTCATGTGGTGTCTGTTACAATATATAACCTAGAAATGGTGCTGTGCAGGATGGATGGGGAGAGCAGAAGGTCTGACACAGTTATTTTGTGTTTTTCCAGTTTCCTACGTGCTCAGAGTTGGCAGGTACATCCCTTCAGCTGAGCTGAATGGTAGGGAAAAGGCCTCTTTTTGACTCCCTGATGGGATTTCTGATGGGATTTTAACCACCCCGGCTCCTTCGGGAGCAGGATTTTGTCATATATGTTTCGCTGCTGGGCGCTGATTTCTGTTTCCATTTCCCTGCTGTTTGTGACAGGCGGATCGATTGCTTTTTGGCCTGTTTTGTCGTGGTGGGGAAGTTATTCCACTGCATCTCTTCAACTGAGTCATTTGGAAACATCCCCGCTCCCCAGCCGGCTCATTAGCATCCAACATTACATGGTGCTGGCTCAGGGCTGAGCTATCCCTTGTGCCAAGGCCGTGCTTGGCACATCCTTCAGGAGGGCAAGGAAAGATGTTCCTCAGTTGCTCTCTCCCAAGCCCAGGCTGTTGCACAGAGAAACACCTTTCCTCCCTGAAGACCAGACTGTGCTGGATACGGCAGCACTGCTCAGAAACGGTTGGACTGGATGATCTCTAAGGTCTTTTCCAACCTAGAAATCTATGAAATCTATGAAACCCTGCTAGGCCCTTCTCGTATCCACCCAGGTGTGGGTGGTTCTTGGGTGGTGGGCCCCAGAGGTACCAAAGGCAGGCAGGGTTCTCACCCTCTGGATGTCCTTCAGCCTCATCCCCTGCCATTTTGTCACCTTGGGGTGCAATCGTGGTGCCGTCGCCCTTGTTTCCAAACCTCTTCTCTTCTCCCTCCCCCACCCAGGTACGGTGCAGACGTGGATGTGAATCACCACCTTGCTTCCCGGGTCCCCAGCCTCTCCGTGCGGCCCCTCACCACGCTGGTGGTCTGCCCGCTCTACATCAGTGCTGCCTACCACAACCTCCAATGTTTCCGGCTGCTGCTCCAGGCAGGAGCCAACCCAGATTTTAACTGCTGCGGGCCCATCAACATCCAGGGCTTCTCCCGGGGCTCTCCGGTGTGTGTGATGGACGCTGTCCTGCGGCACGGGTGTGAAGCAGCGTTTGTCCAACTCTTGATTGACTTTGGAGCCAATCTGAGCCTGGTGAAGGTGGAGGCCTTGGGAGTTGAATCCACTGGAAGGGTCAAAGTCAACCCTGAGGCTCTGCAGGTGTTCCAAGAAGCAAGGGGTAAGTGCCTTTGACATACTGCAGTGGCTCTGGTTTTATCTAACTCTTTGGAGAACTCTTTGGAGAGTTTATTTGGTAGTAAGGAGCTGTTAAGGTGGTAGGGTGGATGTTACCATCCTCTTTTGGGTCTGTTTGTTCAAGTGCCTTTAACCACCTGCAAAAAGATCCAGTTCTAACAGACAGAAAAGATAACTGGGGTTTAAGAAGCTGTAAAGCCAAGTGTTAATGACTTCGCCACCCTTGATATGGCTCCCGAAGAGCTGTTGCTGGCCAGGCAGGCAGCAGGCAGGAGAGGACGGTGGGGCTGGCCTCTGCAGCTCCCTGGCACAGATCCTCAGCGTTGCCGAGCCGCTGCCTGCCTCCAGCTCCGTCAACACTGATGACTCAACCCAACAGCTTCCCCATGAGCCTCCAGCTAGAGTCCCTGTTTATCTTCTGTTGCATTTTGTACGTTCACGTGGTGTGTTCCCCCTTGAGTCCTTCAGCTACCAATGATGCCTATGGGCATCAGCCTCTGTAACTTTACATTTTTTATCTTTCTCCCAGCCCTTTTCCGTCGCCTAGTGGTGTCTTCAGCAGCTCGATGTGAGGTTAGGCAATGTGGTCTTACCAGAGCTGGGCTTTGGATCTGCAAACCAAAGGCAGGTTAAGGCATAGTCAGTGAGACCCCGTTCTCCAAAGCCGTGCAGATGTGCCCGCACTGTTCTGGAGTGACTCTGTGCTCTGCAAGGGGACCCAGGGAGGGACCCAAGAGGTAGTTGTATCTGGGCAGGCTGCTTGCTACAAGTGGTGGTAGCAACTGGCAGGAGGGAGCTCAGATGGTGGTGGAAAAAGGTGGGGAAAAGCTGGCTTTTGAATTTAACATCCTCTGCGAAGCACATGAGTTACAAAAGAACTAAACCAGAACATCAGACCTGAACATGCCTAAATTTACCTGCTGTTTCTTTCTTTTTATAACAAAAGCAACATCTCTACAGTGCGCACCCTTGTTCCAGCAAGGGCAGCACCTCATAAAACCACCAGGCTCAGCTGGTGAAGGCCAGGGCTTTGCACCAGGGTCAGAAGTGGGGTTTCCCTCTTGAACTCCAGAGAAATTTCAAAGGGATTCAGGACGTGGAATACAACCACCAGCCCCCACCCCAAAGTTATGCAGCTTTGCACGTGCTTGGTTTTTAAACCTACCTGGACTTCAGCTGAGAAGAGAAGCACATAAGCTGAAGCAGGTGGTTTCCATTACACCCGCGTTTAGGAGGCAAATGGGATTCCTCAGGTAGAGCATGCAGGATAACGGAGCGGTGCCTTGGACATCCAGTTCCTGAATCAACATGGATACCACCATCCTCTTGTGCCTGTGCTGGAGTTGCTCTCCATAAACCTAAAAGAAGCCCTCAAAAGAAAACTGGGATAAGGCCTGAGCTGGCCGTCAACGCTGTTGATTCCTAGGGGGTGGTTTACAGCAAAAATAAAGTGCACATGATTTTAAAATGATCTGATTAGTATAAAGCTGCTCACAGCCTCCTTACAGAGAGGATTTGTTTGTGCTCATCTCTCCTGCGCTGCCTTCATCTTGCTGCGCAGGACGTGGCCTCAGCATCTGGAAGGGGAAAGCGGCTCCTCAGCTGTCAGCCCGAGCTCAGCACCATTTAAATGCTGTTATCTCTCTCTCTCTTTCTTCCTCTCTCCGTCCCTCAGCAGTTTTTCTCTGCTTTCTTTATTGCAGGACGCACCCGGAGCCTCTTGTCTCTCTGCCGCATAGCTGTACGAAGAATACTTGGCAAATCTCGTCTGGATCTGATCCATATCCTTCCAGTCCCAGACCCCATTAAACAATTTTTACTTCATGAACACAGTTAAAGGGCAACTGGCTGCTTTCCGGGACAGTTTGGTTTGGTAAATGAGTGCGCTGATAAAGCCAGGTGCCAATCCTAACCCTTCCCTCACCGTGAAACACTGTATTGCTCATGGAGTACACATAATTGCCTGCCCCTCTGATTCTCCTCTCCAAATTTAGGGTGCAGTGATTTTGTGTGTCTGTTCTTAAGCTACCAGTTATCTAACTGGTGATCTCTTGTTTGCAGCTGGTTGGGTGATGAGGTCAATAAGCGTGTGGGGCTCTTACATGAGCAAATACAATATATCCTATAGCTGTTAGCGTATGTCTGTTGGTTACGACTCTACCTCTGTTATTCCTCTGTGTGACACACACCTTGGGTCTCAGCAGCACTTATGTGTGGGGAAAGTGTCCCTATTTAAGCCTTTCCTCTTCCTATAACATCTAAGGGAGTCTCTCCTCGCCTTGGTAAGGGTTTTACAACAGCACTGTTCTCTTTCTGCTGTCAGTACCTGGCCTCTCTCTTCCCTATGAAGTTTGTGATTAGTGCTGTAAAAGTGGGTGTATTTTCTTCTGTCCTCTTCTGGTGTGAAATGCATCAGATTTCCTGTCCAGTGCCGTGCATTACTTAGAAAATTGTATCTGTGTCTCTGCGTGCTGCAAGCTAGCTGCTGACATGGCTTTCTTCATGTAGAGGCCCCATCGCATGGATGGGAGAGTAGCAGAATGAGTAATCCTGTCCTGTCTGAGTCGTTTCTACAGAGCACCAGATCTGCTGTGGCAGCTTGGCTCTCCCTCCAGCGCTGTGATGGATGAGGCAGGGGCTGGCTGGTCCTCCTCCTGACTGCCTGAG